TGAGTTAGTGCTGTTAATTTATCAATAAATCTGAGTTTAAGCTGATCAGGTTTAAGTTTGGGAAACTTGATGGTCCAGAAATATTTTACAAGTATTTTATATAGCTTAAGAACTAACGAGTTTGAAAGCAACTAAAATATATGAAAATGTATATTATGAATACTGAATAAGAATATATATTTTTATTTTAATATGATAATTTATAATAATTCTTCCGTATTCATAATATAAACTGTCATATATAAAAATGTTTTACAAATTATAGTGAAATAAAGCGAATTCGAGGAATGATTAGTTGGCCATAGGAATCAATTATAAAATGTTTCTCTATGTATGTGTGTGTGTGTCTATGTGTGCATTTAATGGCTAAGATCCCATAACCGTCTTTGTTCCAACATCCGCTGCAGTGTTTTGTTTACTTGTGTATTCTTTTTATTGTTGTTTTTCGTTTAATAAAACGTAAATTGTGCAAAATGGTTAGAACATTCGTGTAGCACAGCATCACGTACCTGAGTTTCCATTTGACGCCGGCGTGGACGATGTTGATCTGCGGCTAAACATGCTCGTTATAGACCTGCTAATGCTGCGGCGCTTGTTGTCGCTGCGCCTGAACGGATCATAGGCACTGGTGGGCGATGCCTGCACAGGCGTTGCTGCCGACAGCGTTGCATAGGTGGAGCGCTGTTGCGCCTGTTGTTGCTGCTGCTGCTGTTGCGTGTGGCTGTTGGTTTGCGCTAGGTGCTGATGCTGCTGTTGGTATTGGAGCTGTTGATGCAGCGGTGAATTGTCAGTGATCTTGCGCGCATTGACCAAACGGAACTCGCGATCGATCAGGTACGAGCGCGCCACATCGATAATCTCCAGCGAGTTCTCGGCGACTGGCAGCTCAGCATCGATTTGCTGCTTGAGCATGCGCAGCACCTGATGGAACGACGGCGTGTCCGAGGTGATGGCAATGTCGGAGCGCAGCAACAGCGAGTGGATGAGCGGCAGTGGGTACCAGGCGAGTCGTGTGATTAGTCCAGTTAAATGCAGGTTCACGTACAACGAGTTGCTCGTAAAGGTTTGCAGTTTGCTCCAAATGGCATTCAGAAAGGGACCTGACCAAGTGGTGGAAGGAGAGCGTATATCAAAATGTTCTCTATGAAAGTATATCATCTCGCTACTCACCTAAGCTTACGGTGCCCTGCGCAAACAAATCCTCCGAGAAATCCAGGTCGGTGAGCAATATCTCGTTGCGACTGCTGTGCGATATGCGCCACGAATCGCGTCGCCCACTGCTAATGCTGCTGCTATTGTTGTTGTGCTCCAGATCTGTGTCGCTGGCTGATGCTGTTGTTGTTGTGGTCACATCGATGCCCTCGGCATCCTCATCGGCAGGCCGCCACTTGAAGGACTCGTAGCCACTGGATTCGCCTATCGATTGCAGGCTATCCAGCTGCTTCTCGCCCGCTTCGCTGGCAACAGATGCCGCAACCACCGGAGCTGCTGTGCCAAATTCGCTGAAGAACTGCCTGGCCAGCTCCAGAGCATGGGCCGTAGCCCGTGCCTGACCCTGCCTGGGCCACTTTTGATATCGATAGCTGTTCGCCCACTTCCTGCAGTCGCGCTGACACTGAGCGATCCGCGAGTGAGCCTCAAACAGATACGCCTGCACATTGGCATACAGGCTGTCGCCGGTGTAGTGGCCATAGTAGTTCCAGTTGGCTCCAATCGTCTTGCTCATGACCGGCGAGGGCAAACTGAGCAGAATAGAAGGTGCTGTTGCCGTTGTCGTTGCGGTTGCTGCGGGGTCAACCAGCTCCTGGACACTCTTTGGTCGCGCCAGATCACGAGCGCGCTTCATCACATCAGGCGTTAGTTCCAAAAAGAACTCGGTTGTGTTCAGATACGGATCGATCTTGTTGATCTTGTGGCGATGCGAGATGGGCACATGCTTGCCAGGCAGCATATACTTCAGCAACAGCTCCAGCATGAGGTCCTCACAGTGCAGACCCAACAGTGTATCAAACAGCGCCATCGTAACCATGCACAAATTGGCATCGGGCGAATGTAGCCGCTCCACAAGAGCATCCAGAATTCGTTCACCGTCAAATTTCTCCGTATCCAAGAGAAATTTGACAAAGGCACGCATAAGGCCGGGCTCCGTAATGGAGCGTAATATCAAGTCCAGATAGGACATAGCCGAGATTTGTGAGTCGATGTTCGTCTGAAAATGTTTGCCCTTCAGTGTCTGCGAATTGGAGCGCAAAAAGTTGTTTCGAGATTTCGAGGCGAGGTGTTTGTGTTTTGGTTAGCTTGGGGTCGGCCCAAAAAGAGAAGAATAGGATAGCACACACATACTATATACTACGCTTATGTAGCACACATCACAAATGAGAGTCATTATTACTGAATGAATATAAAGCAATGAATTGATATTCCTCCCATTGAGGAAGTACATTTTATTTTGATTGCGCATAAACGTAGTTTTATAGATCGATATATAGGTGGAAAGCAAACACAAACTGAGACAAGAGCACCAAAGGACAATTGACATATTTTTGCAACCAACACCACAGAAATGCATCGAAGACAAGTTTTTACGTGTGAGAGCACAAAGCAAAAAACGGAGACTCACCTGCAGTATAGCCGGGCCCAGCACCGGCACAATGAAGCCCTGATACATAAAGTCAAGCAACTGTTGCTTAATCATCTCATGGGCAACCTGCACCACGGCATTGCAGAACTCGAGGGCATTCATAAAGAGCGTCAGCTCGGGTATTTCGGCGACATCGTCGGGCGTGATGCGATGCCAATCAATGGAGTTGATTTCGATGCTGTTCGGAAGGCGTGAATAGAGTCCACCCAGACCGGTGACAAGCAGCGGGCAAATGGACGAGTATTGTGCTATGTAGTGGCCAATGTTGGAGTTCTTCTGCGACAGAGCCATGCAGAGCAGCAGAGCGTCGCGCGCCTGATGACCCAAGCTGCCCTCCCGATGCACGTATGGTATAAGCAGCGAAAATATGATGAAACTAAGGAGGGCATAAATATTAATGATCGTGAAGCAGAAGATATAGCTAGCTAGCCTTCCCAGCTTATAAGCTCGACTCACTTGGTTGTTGTTCCACTTTTGGGCGCAGGCAAGCTTCCATTCTGTATTTGCTCCTGCACCTGGGTTTGGGCCGAAAAGAAGAATAGATCGAGCAGGTGGACATTCTGCATGAGGACAACGCACAGCTGGTTCAGTAATATGACCAAACGTTTCTCCAAGTCAGGCGGAAAGATTTCGCCTTGGCTCGAAGCGAGTATCTTGAGCAGCGGCCGCAGAAATGGTTCGTGACACAGCAGCTGGTGGCGTGAGTGGCTCACCAGTAGCTCGTACAGTTTCAGTTGCTCCAGACGCACAGCGTTCGCATACCGGCCCGTGGAGCTGGCCCATTCGTACAGTTTGTCCAGCAGATTCTCGCTAAGCAAGTACTCCAGGCAGGGCGCTGCTGGGGGAGCAGCATCGGCCGAGGGTAGCGACACCTTGTTGCAGTGATGCAGCTCAACGAGTAGCAGCGTTACCATATAATCTAAATGCGAGACCACGCCCAGCACATCATCGTGCGTAGGCGTGCCCGGATGCTGAATAATTTCGTGCGCCTGCTGCCAATGCTTACAGAAGCTATCGTAGCAGGCGCGCGGATCACAGTCTGTGGCTGCGTCTATGGGTCGTTGACGCATCGTCGTTGCAGTGCCAGAGCTGCCGTTGCCAGAGCTGCCACCGCTGCGCGTCAGACTTTGACGCAATGGACTCGTACGAAGCCAACTCATTATTTTGGGTTCGTTCCGTTCGGCTATTCCGTTGAGCTTTGGCGGCGTTGCTGCGATAAGTGTAGTAGCAGTAGTAATTTGGCATGTATTGTTGTTATCTTGCAGTTTGTGCTTTGTCCGAGCTTTGTGTGAGTATTTTCGTTGCCATACATAAATTTACAAATAGATTTTTACAGCTGAAACAAACGAAAGCGTCAAACAGTTAAGCTTTAACTAATGCATCTTCAGCAACGAATACAACAATAGCAGCCACAACAATAATGCAACAAGAATATACACAAATATACATACAAACATTTGCATCATACACTCACTCACTTATTCACATACATACAGACAAAATGTATTTATTTGGGCAGGCGAGCGAGCAAGTGGCGTTTGATAGTCACTGAAGCGCTGCGAATTGTTGTTGGCACATTTTGCTTGCTAAGTTTGCTGATTACCTGCTGAATTTTTATAGTCCACTTCGTCATCGTCTTGGCGTTTTTTTGGTGTGCTGAAAAAGATTCTTTCAACCAGGTATCGCCTTTTAGCGCGCGTAACACCACCACAAGCTTTTTTAACTGTCTAATTTTTTGGCACTGGGAAATTATAGCGAAAAGACGACGTCGACGACAGCACGGCCCCGTCCTTGTGCGCGCACTTGACAGGTGGAAAATACACAATATTGATTTGTTTGTTGTTCAACAACATGCACCGAACATTGTTTACACCTTAATGCCTCATTTTGCTATATTTTGGATTGGTTTTACGCGAAATTAGTTCATTTTTATAAATATTTACAACAAATAGAAAGTAATGAATGAATTGGTGGTAGTCGAGCGATAGATTTGTGGTGGTCGCCCGATTCCGATAACTCAATCCATTGTGAATCATTTTTACAACACTAGTCTCTAATAATCCGATTGTATTTTATTTATACTCACCGATAATATACATTTCGCGCCTAGTCTATCGAAAATAAATATTTTAAAGTATTGAATAATCTAATAGATTTATTTCTGCTGAATCGCAATTTATTGATTAATTTTAATAGACATACACTTTCTTTAGCATACAAATTACGAAGTTATATTATAAACGGGTTATTACAAAAAGAACAACAGCACACAAAGAGGATATGCAATGAATAGTTTGTATATAGACATTAACTGTTTGTTAAGCTCCTTAGATTAACATTCTTTTGCGGATCATTTTCGTTTATGAATATTCGTATCAATGCCGTTCTTCTTCTTAAATTCATAAAACCATTAACCAAGTTAGAGTTGCACATTTTAAAAATTCTTTGTATGATTTTGCTAACAAATAACATAGTTAAATAAATTGTCTCTAAATATTTGTAATAATAGGTTGTATAAAACGGAAGGGGTCTACAAGAGTGTGTCCAAATGTCAACTCAACTCACATCGGCAATAGCGACGGACCGACACTGCTACTTCGTGAGCTGGGCCTCTCTATGGTCATAGTTTGCTGTGGTACTTGGCTATCGGTGCTTATGCCCAAACCCGCATAAATTTCCTTCATCACAAACAATATAGTGTCCTCAGAGCCCCTATAAAATGTAGTTGCAAGTTACAATCTAGATTTAGGCACTATTTTATCCACTACTCACCAATAGCAGACATGGCTACTGAGTGCAAAAATATACTCGTTGATGAACTCCAGTGGTGCCTCCTGCAGCACGTAGTCCACGCGTTTCGAGTCATTCAATTTACCCAGCGGAAAATCAAGTTCAATGAATTCAGGATCTGACGTTGTCGTGGACTCTGAATCGGTACGATTACGTGCATGTGTAGAAGTAGTCGCTGCTGATAAATCATCCGTGTCCTCAGTTTGTTTATGGAATATCTGTGAATTACTCTATAGAATTGGTTAGTAACCAAATCGATTGTCAATGTTAATCTACTTGTAACTTACTGAGTTGACTTCCTTTTCCAGCGTCTCCTCGGCCTCCTTCTTCACCCTGGTCACCGTAGCCAAGAAATTGACGCTATCTAATGTCGTCTTGAATGTATCCATAAATCGTTGCTTTATGTCCGCTCCAACGCGCGTCATTGTCTCCTTCAGCTCAAGATGCATGCGCTTGCGTCCTTTGTGATGTGGAATCAAGACCGGGCGAATGCCTTTCATATCCGGATTGACTAGCGCCTCTATGCGATACGCCACCGGATCGAACGGATGGAATATATTGTAGAAGCCCGCACATGTGGGTAGCCGAAAGTCGAGGCCGAGCTTATCGATGCCACGTATGGTCACAAACATGCCAATGGGTGAGCCCAGAGCAAAGAACTTCTTCGGATGGAAAATTAGCTGCGTGTAGTTGATCACCGGCTGCCCAGTGCCAGCTGGCCCAATGCCCATGGCGTAGCTGACCTGTTTGGGCATCATGGCATCGTTGTTGGGCAGTTGTACGTTTTTCGATTCGGTCCCCTTCTTCTGTGGTAGTTGATCAGGATTCTCCTGTTGAATATTTAGCTTTTATATTATATTGCTTAAAATATAGTCTCTGATCTCTGCTCATTAGCTCACCTTATTTTCCTCTTCGCTCTCCTTGAGCGGCTCCTGGTGACACAGCAGATCGAAGAGTATTAACGAGCCGAGGCTGTGGCCGGCCAGCGAGACACCGCCATTGAATTCCGGATGCCGCATCCGATACTTTAAATAGGTTTCATTTAAGGCATCGGCCACCGTGTTCATGATCTTCTGACAGTATTTGGGACTGGTATAGAAGAGCACATCGAGCAACGTGTCGTTTGTGAAGTTGCGCAATCGTGGTATGGACTCTAAGGTAATCGACTTGAGCTTCTCATCAATGCCAAGCTCCTCAGAGTGCAAATGACCGTGCCATTCAATAGGCAGCACTTCCACGCGTCCCACTAGGCCCATGTCCGTGGAGTTCTTGTAGTGGGACTGCACCAGCTGCTGGGCAATGTATCGGAAGTCATCCACTAAAGAATAGGGGTATAGTGAATGAGTTTTTAATTCTAATGAGTTTTTATTTTTTTATTTTTTTTCACTTACCGACTTCCTCGACATTGCGCATCTTCAGATCACAAGCCGAGCCAATGCCATGTACCATGAACAGCAAATGATCCACGCGCTGAGATTCGCCCTGTTGTATCTTAAAGTCATTCAAATCCCGCTTCACAACCAGCGGCCGTGAGGTGCCTTGCACGCTGCCTCCCCACGTATCGGCGGGCGATGGGGGCATGAAGTGGACAATGACGTTGGGTCCATGCATGGTCACCTGCTCACCATTGGCCAGCGGTATCTTCTTATGCCATTCGTTTGTTTCGGTCGCGTGCTTATACTCTATCTCAAGTGCTTCTGCAGTTTGCTCCGCGTAGGGCACATATTTACCATCGACGCCCTTATAGAACCAGGAACAGCGACGCACCTCAATGGCTTTGCCCTCCCAGTAGACGGGTGTCTTGGTGCGCTCTTTGATGTTGACATCGTAGCGACCGCCCTCGACGGGCACAATGGCTGATGAGTCGGTTTCCTCTGTGGAAAGTAGAAAGAAAATTTTACTATAATTTTAAGTAGGTCTCTTAAATCAGCGAGAGCTATATTTTGAATCCATTGAAAATGGAAAATTTGAGAATAATGGTTTTCTTAAATGCAGACGAAGGCGTGGCAGATCCATTAAAGTAAAGCTGATTGAGCCCTCTCTGTCTCTATGTATGCTTGAACGCGTCAATCTCAGGTCCTATAGAAGTTAGAGAGCTAGAAGTTTTTGGTGTAGGTACATTTCAATGTAATCGATTAAAACATTTAAAAATTATCTTGGAAAACATTGCACGTTTTATATCTTTAATAAAATTTTGGATACCAAATTCAGGGTATCTACTACTCGGGCAACCCAACTATAATTTTCCTACTTGCTTAGTTAATGAAATTTTAGGCGTTTCAACTCTGAGTCAGGCTTTGCCAAAACATTCCCTGTTGTCCCCCTCACTTACCGCTATTCAGGCTAGTTTCCAGCAGCGCTGAGTCATAGTGACTAAATGGTGTCCACACGAATTTACCATCCACATTGCGTTTGTAGAACCAATGCGGCAATACGGGCGTGTATACCTGTAAATGTAGTACAATATCTGTATCTGTATCTGTACATGCATTGCGTATTTCATCTCGAATTGAGACTTACCAAGGCTTCGCCAGTTGGTACCGTGGACGAATTCTTATCGTTGGCCATTCTCAGTTGCTGCAGGAGCTCTTCGGGCAGTTCGCCCAGATGTGACTGCAATAGATAATCGGACTGGCGATCGGCCTGATGTTGATTGTTTGTTGGATTGGCAGCTGAGCCCGGTGCAGCTGTGGAGAACTCCGAGCAGGCAGATGAGGGCGGCTCCACAACGTTGGAGACAGACGTTTGGGAGCGCTGCTCGAAGCGCTTGTTTGGCAAGCCGCTGTGCACAATATCGTATTTGAGTTCACCTGGTGCGGCTGGCTGATCCTGCAGCGGTGGATTGTTAAAGAAGTTCTGGATGCGTTGATCCTCCTGCCCCTGTCCGCCGGCGGCGAAGTGATCAAAGAAATTAGCTGAATTGCAGCCAATCAGCGGCTGTTGATCTTGCTGGTGCTGTTGCTGTTGCTGTGGCTGAGGCTGTGCGGCTGGCCCTGACCCCTCTATGGGGCTACCGAAATAGCCGGAAAATGTGTTCACACTTGAATTTTGATAGATATTTTCGTTAGAATTTTGCGTTTGCTGTGCAGCTTGCTGAGAGTCGCTGATCAGTTGCTCAAAGCCAAGTGCCTGAGTGGAATGGGTCGTGGCGACGTCGCCAGCAGGTGGCTCTTGCGCTAGTGCGGGTGGTGCTACGTTATGCAATGGAGGCAACTCCGGAAACTGTCCCGCCTGCTGTGCTGTTCCAAAGAAATTGAAATCGTTGCCGTTCGAAGCCGGCGTAAAGAAGCTAAGCAGAGCCGAAGGAGCAGTCGCGGCTGTTGATGTCGGTGCAGGTTCGGCGGCTCTGCGGAATGGATTCGCCTGTGAGGCGTTGTCCTGGYTGGCCGCTGCTTGTGGTGGTGGTGGCGGTGGTGCTGCTGCCGCTGCTGCTGCAGGTTTAGCAATCTCTGCTTCAGGCAACACCGGCTCGATTGTCTGTGCGGCGAAAAGTGAGTTGCCGTCTGTTTGAGCGCTGGGCTCCACAAAGCCAATGGGCGGCGGCAACGGATCTTGGGGCAGCGGTGTGGTTACTGTCTGCGCAAACGGATTAAAGAATGTGGTTGTTGTCTGAGTGGTCAACGCAACGCTAGGCAGATGAGAGACAGCGGCCGGTGCCTGCGCAGGTGGTGCAAACAAATCGCTGGTGCTTAGTGGAGGAGCAGCGGTTGTTGGCTGTGGTGCCACTACTCCTAGAGCCTCCTGAGCTGACCCACCTGTACTTGATGGTGCAAAGAGGTTGGTGGCGTTAAGTATTGGCTGTGGCGCGCTTGTTTGTGGTGTAGCTTCCTGATTCTTTGAATCGAACTCCTGATTCTTGGAATCGAGCTCTGCTGCTGTTGTCTCTGCAGGTGGGTAAAGCTCTACGCTTTCACCCGCTTCAGCAGTGCCTGCTGCTGCTGGTACTGGCACAAATAGTGGAGTTTCTTCACCAGCTTCAGTGGCTGCTGTTCGTATGGGTGGAAAAAAGACAGGCACAGCTGAAAGTTCTTGAAATAAAGCAGTTGGCGGTGTTTTGGGAGTCTCTTCACTTGGTTCGTTGACCTTGCTTACGGTTGGCTGATCAGCACCAACGGTTGGTGGTGCTGTTGCAGTAGCCAAGGAAGTTTCCTGCGCTGGCTCCCTTTGCTGATTTGTCTGCAGTGGCTCTGGCTTGTCACCCAACTGTGGCGTGAATAGAGTTGCTGTTGCTCCTTGGGAGAATATGGGCAAGCTCTGCGATGTTGGGAATAGTGGAACTTCCGAAACAGCTGCAGTTGAAGGCGGTGCAAATAGTGTAACCTCCTGACTTTGATTTGAGGAGCTGCTCAGTTCTGAGCTCTGAGTCTGCGACGCGAAAAGATTGTTGCCTGGGCCCGTTCGAACTCCTTGTTTTGCTTCAGACGAGCTGGAAAAGAGAGGAACCTCCTGAACTGTATCGGATGGTGCCGGCGCAAAGAGCGAGGCAGCTGGTGCACTTGCTTCGTGGGGCTGAAAGAGCTCCGTCGATGTCTGTGGTGTAAAGAACGATGTTGCAGGCGCAGCTGGTGGTGGTGCAGCTGCAAACAGAGGAACTTCCTGACTTGGCGCTGGTGCAGCTGATGAAGTTGGTGCTGCAAATAGTTCAACTTCTTTTGGCTCTGCTCCACCAAATGGATTAAAAATAGCAGCAGGTGCTGTGTAGGGCGCAAAGGGCGTGGCTGCTAATGCTGTGGGCTGACCAAAGCCGGTTGGCGCCTGTGCTGTTTCCTGCGCTGTCAGTGGACTCTTGTAGAGACGCGTACCCTTCTGCAGGCGATACGACGAGTGAGCAGGTCCAGCTGCTGGCGGTGGTGCCGCTGCACCCGTTGGTGGCGGTACTGCTCCTGTTGTTGGTCGCGGAGGTGCTGCAAATGCCGCTGGCGGTGGTGCAACAGCTGTTGCTAGTGGTGGTGCTGCAGCTGTTGCTGGTGGTGGTGCTGCAGCTGTTGCTGGTGGTGGTGCTGCACCTGAAGTTGGCGGTGGTGCTATTTGTGTCGCTGTCTTTGATTCAGTTGCTGAAACTGATGCTGGTGGTGCTTCTACACCCGTTTGTGGCGGTGCCCTAACTCCTGCTGGCGGTGGTGCTGCTACATCCGCTTGTGGCGGTGCCCCAACTCCTGTTAGTTGTGGTGCTGCAGCTACACCCCCTTGTGGCGATGCCCCAACTCCTGCTGACGGTGTTGCTGGTGCTACTGATGGTGGTACCTGAGCGACTGCTTGTGACTGAGAGACAGCGGGTTGTTGGGAGACTGCCCCTGGCTGAGTAAATGCCTGTGGTGCAAATGCTGCTGTTGGTTGAACAGGTGCTGCTAGCCCACTAGCCGCTGTTGCTGGCGTAAAGAAGTTAGCCGGAGTTGCAGCAACTGCGGGAGGATTGAAGTAACCACCTACAGTGGGCGGTGCTGCGGATGGCGCAAAATAATCCGCAGCAGCCGGCGGAGCTGCTGGCGTGAAATAGTTTCCAAACGGCTGTGGAACGGCAGCAGAGGATGTGTTGATCTCAAAATAGCCAGCAGAATCAGCTGGATTGTAGGTGGCCTGTGGTGGCGGTGCCGCAGGCTCGTTGCTTCTGCCTGTGGCCGATTGCACTAGACCCGAAATGTTCTGTAACACGCCAGAGGGCACTAGACTAGTGAGCGAGAAGAGGCCACCACTCTTGCGTTCCTCTTGAACGGGCAGTGGTGCAGGCTGCTCGTAAGTTGCTGCGCCTGCTGCCGATGGCTGTGGGGGATATGATGGTGCTTGGAAGGGATCAGCAGCGGGCACTGGCTGCTGTTGCTGCTCCGAGAGACCGGGAATGGGCGCGTATAGCTTCTTCCTGGCACTGATGCGATAAGTGTTCTGCCCAGCCGAGGGGGGTGGCGGTGGCAAAGCGCCAGCTGCTAAGCCAGGCACCTCTGTGGGTGCATAGAATTTCGGTGGCTCTGGTGCAGGCTCGCCAGCATGTGCTGGTGGTGCAGCGTAGAAGGGCGGTGGTGCAGCAGCTGCTGCGTGGACTTGTCCCGCCTGCTGTATATAAGTCGGCTGGATATCTAGTTGAGGCTGAGCCTCGTCCGCCTCCCGTGTGCCCGCGTATATGCGCTTCGAGAACGTCGAGAACACGTTGGAGGCCACCGAGGGCAAGGCGCCAAATGAAGACGCCGCCTGGCTAAGCAAAGAGTCTGCGGCAAGCGGCGGCTCTAGCAACGGATTCGCATTGGCATCCGCAACGCTCTGATAGGGATTGTTGGATGCGTTCGCTGCTGGCACCGAGTCGTCGCTGCTGCTGGCGTTCAAGTTAATCTCGTCAAGCGTTTCGCTCTCGTCAATACCGGACGGCTGTCCAACGGTCACCAGGGTTTTGGGCTCTGCAAAAGCATATCGAAACGAAAACCAAATGAGTAATTCTCGTAGCCTCAGTTTCCGGAAGTAAACGTAATAAACTAATCAATATGCTAATCAAAATCAACGCGGCCTCCAATTGGTCATTATCTAGTGATTAGCTAAAGAGCAGAGTATAGCGAAGCAGCACAGTTAATGTCAGTTGATCTATGATCGAATAAAGTCTCGCATATACATTTTTAATCCATTTCGTTTTCTTATATTCATTCGCGAAAATGAAATGAGTATGTTATTTTAGACAATACTTTAGTTTAGTTTATGTACTCTTAGCTTTAGTTAACAGTAAAACTATATATGTTTTATATATTTTATGGAGTAAAGTAAAACTATGCCATCTTATTTCTTTTTATTTTATTAAACATTTTTCCAACTTTAAATATTTTTACATAGCTTGAAGAGCTTAACATAAAATGATTATAAATTTTTGGCGATCCTCATTGCTCAATTATTTGATTGGAAATCAAATATTTATGCGCTTGCGCTAGTCCAAGCTTCATAAAAAGCCAAAAATTGGCATTAGCCGAGCTCAAATGTCATGACATTTGAAGAAGTTGTTAGTTTTAGCTGGTTTTTCTTTATTTATTTACGTATTGCTATCATCTTCGAGTGTATAAATATATATATATACATATGTGTGTGTGTGTGTGTATTATTTAGTCGTTGGGCCAGAAAGAAAGTCAGTGCAAATGCAGTTGACGCTGAGGCTAGGGCTAAGGCTGACTGAGACTGAGACAGAGGGCTTGAAGCTGTTGACCGATGCCATAGCAAACGTGCCATTTGGCTGGGTAAGCGTCGGTAGTAAGAATTCACCTCGATCTTAAAACGTGATTCGAACTGTGGACTGTGTGGCTGTGTGCCGGCCTTTGGTTGATTTTTTTTTTTTTAACACCTTGTTGTAGCCGCTGTAACCAGTGTTCAAGTATTCCAAGCATTGCAATTTGAAATCGTAAATATTTATGCTCGCGTTTGGCATATTTGCGAGCACTCGGCAGCTGCAGCAACAGCGATAAAAGCGATAGCCAGAGCAGTGAGATCACCTTAGAGTAGCTCATATCTAACAGCTAGATAGATAGAGCTCTTAGAATTTATCAAGTGTCCGGCATCAGTGTGTGTGATTGCTGCATAGCTGTGATTAGTTCCAGCTGACAGCTTGCGATAGAGCAGGTACTTGATATAACGACCGAGTTAATCTCAATTGTCACGAATGGCTGTGTCATATATATCTGTTTGCTCTGAATCACTTTTATGCTTTAGTTTAAATGCGCGCAATTTGAGTATTTAGCAACACTGTACTTATGCGTAACAGGCGTTGTAATTATCGATATGTCCCTAAGCTTTACATTCGAAATGTCGTAAAAGAAATTTTTCTCATAAGGAAACGTACGATTGTTGATTAAGTCTTAATTAAGTATTGTAATATTTTAACCGATAACATTTAATTGGTTGCTGCGCTGCAAATGCAGCTGAAGTAATTGCAAGACTTGACAGCGATAGATTATAACAAGTTTACATAACAGAAATTAAGTTGGAATATGCATATTAAGCGAAAAATCATTAATAAAAATTGATGGAATTGATAAGCAATTAGCTACAGATATTATAAATATAAATTGCGAGAAACCTACAAATAAACTTACTGAGAAAGACTTTTAGGATAGAAAATAAACTAAAAATAATTTTTAGAGTAATAAATATTAGACAACTATTCATTTTCCTTGACATTAATGGCCAAAAAAGACGAGAAACTATTTGTCAAAACCAGCAAAATAGTTGTAATTATTTATTCTGCACATATTCTAATATGTCATACAGGAAAATAAAAGTACCGGAAAACCATTTAGAGATAAGAAAACAAAAACAATAAATAGTTGTTCTCCACCTAACTTGAGGTATTATGTCATATTTTCTATATAGTATATAGATTTCAATTCACTTGACTTTGTCGCTTTTCTGCGTTGTCATCTCACATTTTTTTTAAGGCGTCAGCCAAATGTTTGACTAATGTAACTCCATAAAGCGACCAAAGCAAACAAATACAGAAAATTACAACGGACACAAAAAACAAAAACATCGACAACAAACAACTTTAAACAAATTTTTACACATAGACTGTATTGGAAAACGATTTGTAAGGGGGACGTACGGCTTAACAGTCATTAAATAACAGCAAAAATTTCCAGTTTTGTCTTGAAATTTTTTTCCTCTTTTTTGTTGTAGTTTTTTTCCTTTACCTATTTTTTTTATGTGTATAATTTTTTTGTAATATTTACAAAAGCCCGACAATGACAATGACGCACTTTTGACAAATTGTTAAAGCAAATATATGTGTCTATATACCTACGTAAATGTGCGATTGTCTAACCGCAAAGTCTAGGCACATATGAAAAGTAGAACAGCAGAGCTCAAATAAGGCCCGAACCGCACATTAGGCATAAAAAAAAAAAAAAACTAAAAAGAAATGAAGAGGAATTTGCTGTGGCATGACATCATAACGATCATAAACGAATCGAGCCAGCATAAGCACTTAAGACAGGCAAAAAAAAAAAAAAAAAAAAAAGGGTAAAAAAACCAGTCGCTGTCGTCTGCTCCAAGTGCCTGCACATAATAGCACTCAAATAAAACAATTAAGGCACACATAAGCACGTCAAGAGACGATGAAATCATTTGCAGGATACACACACACACATACATACACTCTGCACATCCAATAAAGATGCCCCGAAAAGATTGCCAGCAATTTGGGTTTAAGGCTCGTGCAGGTCGCATGCCAAAAATGAGGGATCCAACACAAAAATGTATAAGAAATGCTGAAAAGCAAAAAGAAAAGAAACGAAACGAAGAAAATAAAATAAATAAATAAACACCAGCTTTGGCATTTTTGGCATTGAACCCTCCGGCAACGAAATGCCCAAAAAACAAGAGCGAAATCAAATCAAAATAAAACTCAAAAGCTCAATAAAAATGCGTGCTTGGAGCTGCTTGGAGACGCTGCTGTGCGATGCTCGAGACGACGGTTTGTCTGCCAGCGGCAAAACGATGATATAAATAAAGTGCACGATTTTTCTATAACCATCACAACAAGAGCCCAAAAGCAACCAACAAAACACTAGAAGATGACGACGAAGAAGAAGAAGAAGACGATGAAAATGTTCAACACTTTTTGTTTGTTTTTATCTTGTTTTCTTAATGTTGTCGAAGCCATTTATACACTTGGCTCTCTCTTCAGAACATTTCGTAAAGGCCAATAATAATGTCGCTTAGTGAGGTATAATCGCGGCTAATATATGTAAAACGTTAGGCTTTTCATAGAGCTGATGTATAATTAAATAAAAATAGTTTTCGATTTAATTGTTAAGAATTAATTGCAAAATGTGCTGAACCTGTTTAAACTAGAAATAACACTTTCTGTTAAGATCTCAGCTCAGCTCAGCTTGTTCCTACACTGATTAAAGCACGAATACAGATTTAAGTTTCAGTTTATGAATTATTTCTATTATTATATTATTATCAAATATTTCATTTCGTATACTGAACCAAAGGAATTCCTTCCGTTGCTATTAGAGTTTCTTCTTGCTGAGGTCTCCAGAATCAGATTAGATTCAGATATTATATATTCTCTAACTTTTTGAAGCATAGGGATGCCGATTTACTGCAAATTTCTATAACTTTTACTCAAATAAATTCCTACAAATATTTTCCTTTCCGAGTCTGTCGCATTGCTATGCCCCCATTCCGTAATTCTACAAAGAACTTGAACTTTAGCCACATTGCGAATTCGAATGATTAGAGAGTTACTTCACAGCACATTCCATGCCCGGCAAGCATCGTAAACCGGCAGTCATGCCCCTAATCCAAGTGGCAAGCACAAAAACAAAAGACTTAGAGAACGAACTCAGGTAGCTGAAAATTCACGTGAAATGCTTTTTATACTCATTCACGAAAGTGAATCAGTATATTGGTTTTGTGCAATGTCCGTCTTGCTGTCCGTCCGTCTGTCCGTCTGTCCGTATGAACGCAATCTATTTCGGCGCTATTGAAGCTAGAGACTTGAAATTTGGAACACATACTCGTGTATATCTCCGATTTATAAAGTGTTAAAATTTTCCCGATCCGCCCACTAGGGGCGTGGCAAATCGGAAAATGCATTTTCCGATATACCAGAAATCATGTTTGTTGAAGAGCTAGAAAGCTGAAACTTGGTATGTAGGTCCGCGTTGACCACCCAAGATCACGAGCTATGGCGGATATATCTACGCCCATTGGGGGCGTGGCAAATCGGATAAAACTGTATCTCCTAAAGTTGTAAACCTAGAATGCTGAAATTTTGCACGTCAGCTAATGGTATGATTCTATAAAGTCTGAAGATAAATTATAAGTCTACGCCCGTTGGGGGCGTGGCAAATCGGACCTGAAGATATAGTGATTTTTTAAATTCTCCTATATTTTGGACACTATTGATGGCAGAGACCTCAAATTTTGTATATATACTCGGACTGATCACCCAAGACCAAAAAGTTTTGTCGGATATATGTCCGCCCACAGGGGGCGTGGCAAACCGCAAAAGTTTATATCTCCTAAAGTATAATAGCTAGAAGCTTCAAATTTGGATAGTTGAGTTACTGGTAGCCTCCTCTATCGATTCCCCAAAAATAATTTTTACGCCTCTTTAGGGGCGTGGCATATCGAAAAATACCCTGTAATTTTCACATTTTTTTAGGGTAAGCATTCAAACTTTGCAGTTAGGGTAACGTTATCTCTTTCTAAAAACTGACCAAAAATGAGGTGTCTACGCCCAGTTGGGGCGTGGCAAATCGGAAAAACCTGTATATTCTACAGTATTAGAACGAAACNGTCCGTCTGTCCGTCTGTCCGTATGAACGCAATCTATTTCGGCGCTATTGAAGCTAGAGACTTGAAATTTGGAACACATACTCGTGTATATCTCCGATTTATAAAGTGTTAAAAT